AGTGGTCTAAAGCACCTACTTAGAACAAGCTTAACAAACACAGGGACCGTGGTTCAATCCCCCAGCACCACATGCCAGACAGCCCTGCCCCCTGGTGGGCTGAGCTGGCCACACACACACACACACACACACACACACAAATAAATAAATTAAAAAAATAAAAAAAAGAACTCAAAAGAGGAATTACATATAGAAAGGTATAACACAAATAAAAGGCAAGTGAGAACTTGAGGATTGAACAATGAGGAGTGGGCAAGGAGAAAAACTGGGAAACACAACAGGGGCAAAGCCATTCATTTGTACGCACAAGATGGGTGGGGCAGTGATGCTGGGGGACATCAGCAGGTTTTTGAGACTAGTGGTTGGCTGGGGAGATTCTCACCCTGACTAACTGTATGCTGGTGCCTGTGAGCTAGGCGGCTGCACTGAGGAAGGCGATGTGTAATGGAGGGATCACGCTTGGAGTGCCTGTCATCCTGGTCTTCTAAATATGTTCTTCTTGTCATGACATGCCAATTATTGCCATACTGTCTCTCAAGTAAAGGGGTTTTTATTTTTATTTTTTTCTTTAAAAAAAAAGGGTACTAAATGAAAAAAAAAAGACTCAAGAATAAGAAAAAAAATGTCACAGGTCTGTCCTGTTACAATTCTGTATATGGTTAGATTTCTAAACTTCTTTGCAAAAATATGTAAATGCTTATCTCTAGTTTTTTAAAATTATTTTTCCTTCATATTCTGTAAGGACTTAAAGGTCAACATATCAATATTTGATGGAAAATACCTGTTCCATGATATGCCAAAGATGTTTGATATTTAGACAGAGTAAACCGAACAGCATATATTGCAGGTTAATAATAAGCTTCTCTTAACAACCTAAGTTAGCAGATCAAAATTGGAGAAAAGAAAGGGCTGCAATGTCAGCCAACATTTTGGCCCTAGCCTTTCAAGGTCAGTGAAGACTCGGGACATAGAAGAACCTGTACTGTAACATCTTGTAACTCAGTTGTGCTCCAAATTTTCTGATCAAGGAGATTATGGAGCCACAGGGGAATGTGATCAATGATGTATAGTGTGCCTGGGGAGAGTCAGTCACATGGAGAAAAACATTCTCTCAGGCTTTCACAGAGAGCAAATTGGTCAAGCAATGGCCGTGACTCATCCTCATGGATGACACTGACAAAGGATCTACAAAGTGCGGTACAGGGCTACAAGATAAATCCTGAGGGTACTTGACTGACCTTATCAGATACAAAAGTTACATTTCTTGTCACATAAGTCTTGCTTTATCTTGGTCTTAACCATTCAGTAGAAAAGTATAAAAATGAGGTATATAAAGTAAATTCATATTAATATGATGAGCTGTAAAAGGCTCAAGTCAATAACTTCTGAGGATAGCCCACTACTATTTTTTTTTTTTTTTTGTGGAACCGGGGATTGAACTCAGGCCGTTGCGCTTGCCAGGGAAGTGCTTATTCCACTGAGCCATCTCCCCGGCCCAGCCCACTACTATTATAGACTGCTAGACAGTGTTGGTTTGTTTTACTAGATTCAAGCACCTGTAGTATTTAGATGCCAATAGAATACCCACCTCTGACAGGACTAAACAAAAAAAGGGGATACAAAGGAAAAATCATTTTGTATTTATACATACAAAATAGGATAGATATACAGCTACTTTCACTTAATTCAATGAGAAGAAAAAGGTGTACTAATAGTGTTTGGATAAGATATCCTGTCTGCTTCTTGTACTATGGATAACCACTAAGAAGATAACAATGTACAATATATTGATATCGAAACTGTCCTATTGGGGCTGGAGAGATGGCTCAGTGGTCTAAAGCACCTACTTAGAACAAGCTCAGCAAAGCATCAGGGACCGCGGTCAATCCCCCAGCACCACATGCCAGCCAGCCCCGCCCCCTGGTGGGCTGAGCTGGCCACACACACACACCACACTCTCTCTCTCTCTCTCTCTCTCTCTCTCTCTCTCTCTCTCAAATAAAAAAAAAAAAAAAAAAAAAAAAAAGAAAAAAAAGAAACTGTCCTATTAATCAGTTTTGAAACTGTCTTATTGCTATTTGTTTCTCAATAAAATTTAAAAAAGAAAGAAAGAAAGAAACCCTTCCTGCCAGGTCTATACCTATAATCCCAGCACTGGCTGAGGCAGAAGGATAATGTGAGCTTGAGGCCAGCCTGGACTACTTTTAAGACCATGTTTTCAAAACAAAACAACTTAGAAATTTCCTCATCACATATTCCTTAGGCTATAAGAGAAAGTGAATCTAAGTACAACTGGGGTCGCATAATTGGAGAATGGAAGTCTGAGGTGCTTCTGAGAAAGTGAAATCTGCGCGGGAACTGAGGTTGGCATGGGGCTTCAGAGAGTCATTTTTCAAAGCTAAAAAGGGAGCTGCTGCTTGTGGTCAGTGTTGTCAGGTTAGTGGGTGTGTAGAGAAAGCAGAACTCATCACAATTTGTATTGTTTCTGTTTCCTCTGTCAGAGAGACTATCCTTAGAAAAGAGATGCCAGAGGGAAAAATCAACCCAAGTTTGAAGGAAAAAAACTTGCAAAAGCTTTCTCTACCATTATGTGAATTCTAGGACTCTGTCAGGAAGAAATTCTTTTTCAATTTTTTTTTCTTTTTAAAAAAATATTTATTAATTTGGTACAGGGTCTGCTATACAGCTTGAACTCTGTAATCCTCCTGTCTCAGCTTCCTCAAAGCTGGGACTACAGCTGCATGCCAGCTGCCTGGGTTGAGTGGGAGTTCCAGGACTGGCATGGCAGGCAATACCACAGATTAGAACCTGGGTCCTTGTGCTTGCCAGGCAGGCGCTTAGACCACTGAGCTATCTCCCTAGCCATTTTTTTTTCTTTTTTTTAAAAGATGGGATCCCACTAGTAGTCCAGGTTGGCCTTGAACTCTCTATGCAGCCCAAGCTAGCTTCAGATTTGGGCCAATCCTTCTGCTTCAGCCTCCAGATTCCTGGAACTACACGTATGCCCACCACCCTGGCTGGAAGTCTTACTCAGAGTGTGAGGAGATTTGCAAAGAAACGTCCTGCAGACCCTGTCTAGCAGCAGGCAGGAGCTCTTACTGCAACTTTCAGAACAATGAAGAGACTTTCCTACAAACCACAAACCACTGTGTTTGTTGAGTATTAGGATAAAAACAGTCTTGTGGAGAGCTTCTGTGGACTCCAAAGAGGCAGGGGCTGCTTGGAGTCAGTGTAAAGGACTAGAGAAAGTTTGTCCCCTGTCATCTTGTCCTCGAGGAGGTTGCAACATAAATATTTCCAATGAATTACACCAACAGTGGGGTCGTTGGGGTTGCTTGAAGCACACCATGTGGCTCAGAAGTCTTTGGAACTTGTTTACAGGAAGAATTTGAAAGGGTTTTGAGATATCAGCTAGAAAAGTCCTAGAATGCTGGAAGCTGAACTTGGTGAGAGATTCTGGTCAGAATTGATAGAAGACCAAAATGTTAATAGAAAGCAGGCAGTAAAGAGTGAGCTCAGAAGGTTTCAGTGGGAGCAAAGACTTCACTGGCAGTTGAACTAGATGTTATGCTTGGGCAGAAAATTTGTCTACATTTTGCTCACATCCTGAAACTTCATGGGAGACTGAGACTGGGGGTGGTGGGCTAATTACACTAGCAGAGGAAATTTGAAATAGTCCAATGTTCAAGCTGTGGCATGGGTCCTACTGGCTACATATGGTCAGCTCTACAGTGAAAATGGGGGCAAACATTAGAGCCAAAAGATGTGAAAAGTTTTCAGTTTCAACAGAAATCACTTGCAGAGTTGGGGCCATGATGGCTAAAAGATTAGCATTATTAAAAAACCTTTAAAAAATAAACAAAAAACTAAGGGCTGGCCAGATAGCTCAGCGAACTAAAGCACCTGCTTAGCCAGGCACAGAGACTGGGGTTCAATCCCTGGCGTGCTTGCCCCACCCCCAGGGTGTGCTGAGATGGCGACTGAGACTGGATGTGGTGGCACAAGCCTGTAATCCCAGTGCTTGGGAGGCTGAAAACAGGAGGATCACTATGAGTCCAATCTGTGTAATGAGACCCTGTACTAAATACATAAGGTCTGGAAGTCTTACTCAGAGTGTGAGGAGATTTGCAAAGAAATGTCCTGCAAATCCTGTCTAGCAGTGGGCAGGCGCTCTTACTGCAACTTTCAGGACAATGAAGAAACTTTTCGACAAACCACTGTGTCTGTTGAGTATTAGGATAAAAACAGATTCATGGAGAGCTTCTGTGGACTCCAAAGAGTACTGTACTGAATACATAAAAAAAGAATGCAAAATAGCGAAGTTTTCATACGAGAAGAGAGCTCTTGGTCTCCATGGAAATGGCCACCTCGGAAATTGCTTTCCTGGCACTCAGTTCGTAGTACTCAGCCATCCAGGTGCTCAGAGAAAGCTGCAGCCTTCATCCAAGAGGTCCTGGCTACTGCTTTAGCTGATGGCAGACCTTGGTATCATCCACTGGGTGCTAGTTTTTTTTTTTTGGGGGGGGTGCTAGTTTTATAGGCATACAGAATGCAAGAGTTATGGGGTCCTAGAGGCTTCCACCCAGATTTCAGAAGGCCAGGCACTGTGCCCTGAGAGGCAATGTCTGAAGCTGTAGAAATTAATTTGGAAGTGGAGAACTCAGGAAGTTAGAGATGCCAGGAACATGGAGTGTACCCTGAGGAAAGCAGCAGGCTTCAAGTATAGCCCAGCATACCTGAGCCCTTTGGAGCCCATAACTTGCTACAACTTGCCCTGGGTACTAGACATGGGAACTATAGGGTTCAATGTTTTCCCTGCTGGGTTGTGGTCTTGCTTGGATCCAATATCCTTCTATCTCCATATTTCTCCCTTTTGGAATGGGAATGTCCACTCTGTGTATGTTAGAAGCATTTAACTTTCTTTCTGATTTTTTATTTTTTATTTTTTTTTGGCAGAACCGGGGATTGAACTCAGACCCTTGTGCTTGCCAGGGAAGCGCTTACTCCACTGAGCCATCTCCCCGGCCCCTCTTTCTGATTTTTTTAAAAGAATCTTTTATTTATTTATTTGTTTGCTACAGGGTCTTGCTGTGTCTCAGCCTCCCCAGCACTGGAATTACAGGCCTGTGCCACCACACCCAGTTTTGGTGGCTGGCACGGTGGTACAGCATGTGGTGCAGGGGATGGAACCCGGGTCCTTGTGCTTGCCAGGCAGCCACTTAGACTGCTGAGCTATCTCCTCAGCTCCTCTTTCTGACTTTTGTAGAGGCTCACAGCTAAGAGTTTGCCTTGAATCTCAGAGGAGACTTGCACCTGGATTTTTCAGCACTAATGAAATTTTCAAAAGTTCAGCAACTCTTAGAGATGAACTAAATGCATTTTGCATAATGAAATGGGAAAGAATGTTATGATTTAGATCTGAAATGTTCCCAGTGTCGCATGTATTCAGAGATGGGACATTTGGAAGGTGATTGGACCTTAGAGCACTGTACTCACAAGTGGATTTGTCTGTTGATGAGTTCATGGCTGAAAGTGCTACTAAGAGGTAGGAGCTGGTTGGAGGTAGGTGTCTGGGGGTGCCACCTAGAAGGGGGCTCCTTTTCCCTTACCCTTCCCTGTTGCCTGGCTGTCATGGGTTGGGCACCTTCTCCTCTGCTGGGCCCCTCTGTACCTTGTTTCTTCCTTGGCATTAGTTGATCAGCAATTGTGACCACAAACCAAAATAAATCTCTTCTCCTTTAAATTGCAGTCACTGGGTATCGTGTCCAGCAACTTGAAAGTATCTAAGAAACATAAAAAGAAAAAACTTAAATGTTCACCACATTTTCAGCCCTACGTCATTTGCCAACAGCAACCAAGGAAGGGTGGTAACAGCCTGTGTCCGTGTACAGACACTCCTGTGGCTCAGCTCCCTCCTGCCTGTACAGGCAGGGATGTGAAGGCCTGGTCACACCCAGCTCCACTCTCTGAGCACCCTGTGCTCTGGCTATAGTGGAAAAGGACAGAGAAGTGGCCACGCAGCTAGGATCCTTGCAAGGGTGTGAAGCAAGACACAGCCCTCTCCTGGGAAATCAGGGGCCTGGCTTGGCCTCCAGGAATCGTGGATGTCTTTGTGCCATGTTCCCCTCTCATAGTCCAGCGAAGCCTGTAGATGCTGCAGAATCCTGGTTTTCAATGTGGAAAGTCAGTTACAGGAGTTACAGGTTCTAGGAAATAAGCTATAGTGCACTGAAAGACACTTCTGTCCCTAGACCCCAGGTCACCAAGCCTACGGAGGTAGTAGAAGCTCAGAATTCAAAGAAAAAAGTTAAAAGTATTTTATCAATCTATGTTTCAGGGGCCAGCAAGATAGCTCAGCAAGGGGCTTGTGGGTTAGCTCAGTTGTTTAAGCGCCTGCTCTGTCAAACCCAGTCAGGTGCTGAGGACCGTGGTTCGATCCCCAGACCCACGCTTAAGGCAGCCTGAGTCAGCCCCCTGCACCCCCCCCAAATAATCCATCTCAACTTTGGGCTGGCCAAATAGCTCAGCAGATTAAAGTGCCTGCAAGCAGGCTCAGGGGCCAGGGGTTCGATCCCTGGGCCTGCCCTGCCAGCCCTGCCCCTGGGGTGCACTAAGATGGCAATTGAGACTGGGCATGGTGGTGTGTGCCTGTAATCCCAGCTCTTGGGAGCCTGTAAAACAAGTGGATCACTACAAGTCTGATCTAGTAGTGATACCTTGAACACCCTGTAGACCGCCTGAGTCCCAGCATGGAGGCGCTCACCTGTAATCCCAGCACTGGGGAGGCTGAAGCAGGAAGATCACCATGAGTCCAAGTTTTGTAGTGAGACCCTGAAACAACTAAATACATTTAATAAATTTTAAAAGGTATATTTCAGGAGGGTCAACTAAGGTAGAATATGTGATGTTATTCTAAGTTTTATTTATTATTCAAAAATTTATGTTATTATTCAACATAAGACTTGTCTTTGCTAGGTGTGGTGGTGCATGCCTGTAATCCTAGCACTTGGGAGGCTGAGGCAGGAGAATCACAGTAAGTACAAGGGCAGCCTGGGCAACAAACTGAGTTCAATTCCAGCCTGAATTGCATAGTGAAGCCCTCTCTCAAAAAGACTAATAATAATAATTATAATAATAACAATACCAAAAAATTATAAAAGGAGTGGGGGGATCTGGAGGTGTAGTTCAGTGTGGAGACCCTGACTTCAATCTCCTAGTACTGGAAAAGAAGAAGGAGAAGGGTGGAGGCACAGGAAGATGACAGGAGAAGAGGAGGAGGAGGGAGAGGAAGAAGAGGAAAAGGAGGGAGAAGGACCTGGGTTCAGTCCCTGGTACTACATGCCATGCCTGCCCGGTGCTGAGCCAGCCACTGAAACTGGACATGGTGGCGCACGCCTGTATTCCCAGTGCTGGGGAGGCTGAGACCGGAGAATCACTATGAGTCCAAGCTGCATAGTGAGACCCTGCACCAAATAAATTTTTTTTAAAAAGGGGTAAAAAAGTTTTTGGCTATGTAAACCTACAATAAACACAGGCATATTTCCATAACATAGTTTCAGTAGAATAAAATTCCCTCTTTTTCTGTAATTGGTTATGTCTCCTGAGGCAGTTACTAAATAACCAGGAGACCCGTGGCTTTGAATGACAAAGCCGGGCGAAGCAGAAAGAGCCTGGGGCAGACAGGGGTTTCATGCTGAGGATGCAGCTCTGTAGGGGGTCATGGGCCACTTGCCCATGAGGGAAATAGCCTCGAAGATTTTCTCTAGTTGTAAGAAAGGGCCAGGTATGGTGGCACACACCTGTAATCCTAGCACTCCGAGGGCAAGGCAAGAGGAACATCATTTGTTCGAGGCCAGCCTAAGTTGCATAGTGAGCTCAAGGTCAGCCTGAACTGCGGAGTGAAACCCTATCTCAAAAAGACAAGACAAGGGCCAGCCAGATAGCTCAGCAGACTAGAGCACTTGCTTAGGCAGAGCGCAGCGACTGGGGTTTGATGCTGAGACAACCCGGGTGCTCTGAGACAGCAATTGAGATTGGGCGTGGTAGTGCGTGCCTGTCATGCCAGCACTTGAGAAGCTGAAAACAGGAGAATCACTACAAGTCCAATCTATCATAGTGAGACCCTGTAGACCCTGTGCCAAATAAATAAGTAAATAAATTTTTATTTTATTTATTTTTTGGTGGAACCAGGGATTGAACTCAGGCCCTTGCACTTGCCAGGCAAGCACTTATTCTACTGAGCTAATTCCCCTGCCCAAATTTTAAAAAAAAAAAAAAAAAAAGCAAGGGCTGGAGAGATGGCTCAGTGGTCTAAAGCACCTACCCAGAACAAGCTTAGCAAAGCATCAGGGACCGCGGTTCAATCCCCCAGCACCACATGCCAGCCAGCCTCGCCCCCTGGTGGGCTGAGCTGGCCACACACACACACACCACTCTCTCTCTCTCTCTCTCTCTCTCTCTCTCTCTCTCTCTCTCAAATAAATAAAAATTTAAAAAAAAAATAAAAAATAAAAAAAAAAAGCAAGACAGGACAAAACAAAACAAAAAATCTATGACGTCTCAGGGTATAAAGATTACATATCAAACCTGAAGCACCAACCCCTAAACACTAGACACTGCTCCAATCTGTGATACACAGATTATGCTTTCTGCATACCTCTCTCCCTGCACAGTAGAGAGGTGCTGTCTCCCCTCCTACCTAGGCCAGCTCACAGCGCTGGAGTACTTCCTGACATTCTCACAGTCACTCATCCCCAAGACACTCCCCTCTTCATGACTAAAACTCAGCTTCAGCCTTGGGTCAAGGCCTTTGTTCCAGTTAGCCATCATTCTAGCTAGACCCAGGGCCCCTTGGCTCCCCATAATTATAGATATGCCTTAGTATCATTATACTCACCATGGGTTGCACTGAAGTGGCAGATGAATTAATTTATTGGAATTCTACTAACTTTCTCCTGGGATTAGATATATAAACTTACTGGACCATGACAAGGTTGGGAAGGACTTTCTATAGGTTTTATGAATTGAACTGTGACCACTGAAAAGTTGTTTATTTAAATCTTTACCTTTAAAGAGAGGGTCTTAGGGCCAGCCAGATAGTTCAGTGGATTAAAGGACCTGCTTAGGCAGAGCACAGCGGCCAGGGTTCTGTACCCAGCAAGCCGTGCTAGCACCACACCTGGGGTGCTCTGAGATGTAAATGAGACTGGGCGTGGTGGCCTGTACCTGTAATCCCACTGCTTGGTAGGCTGAAAACAGGAGGATCACTACCAGTCTGATCTGTGTAGTGAGAACCTGTAGACCCTGTACTAAATACATATAAATAAATAAATAAATAAAAACAAGGTCTTTAAAGAAGTGGTGAATTCGAAATCAGGTCAATAGGAAACGTGCTAATCCAGAATGACCAGGGTCAGAAGAAGAGAAATTGGACAAGCATGCATGCCAGGGAGAGAGACCTGCTGAGGAGACACTATCCTGCCACGGTTTGATCTCAGACTTAAAACCCTCACAACTGTGAGAAGATGCTATTTTTGTTTTTGTTTGTTTATACCAGGAAGAAAAAAAAAGAAAAAGAGGGAAAACTTGAGGGGGGTGAAGTTGTCAGCATCTAATCCTAGAATGAAGTTTAGCATGAGTAATAGAACAACTTGTGTGGTTCACAAAGTACCAAGTCACACCCAGGATATACTCTTGCAAAATTGCTTAACTTCAATTCAATCAAACTTTAAAATTCAACCTGATAGGGCTGGGGAGATGGCTCAGTGGCATAAGTGAGTGTGATTGGGACCAAACAAAATAATAAAATTCAACCTATCCTTTTTTTTTTTTTTTTTTTTTCAGAACCAGGAATTGAACTCAGGCCCTTGCTCTTGCCAAGGAA